TTATAATGTTAGAGCATGTATTTATAGAATTTAGTGCAACCATTTTCATTTCTGTATTCTAGGATCTGGATGCATTTTGGCTTAGAATGAAGGAAGGATCATTGTTCCTCTTGTTAAAATAAACTAGTGAATAATAAATGCAAAAAAAAAAGAAACGAGAAGGGATTGCATCTTGAGAAGTGTTTGCAAACCAGCCTATGTTGAGAATCCTATATAAACAAGGTATTGAGTAAGTGGAATTTGTACTTGTTTTTCCAGTTCAAAACAAATAATTGTTATCCCTGTTGTCCTGACAGCAATAAATAATTAAAATAAATAATGAACAAAATAGTGAGAGAAAAACTAGAAATGCCAACCGTTCACATAAGACTCATCTCTCTTTGCCAGATGTACAGTACTTTTGATATCTATTTATGCACCAACACATTATGTCTAGCAACCTTTATATAAATGGTTGTTTTTTTTAAAAACTCAAATTTAAATTCACCTATTTGAAACATGACCAAACAAAACAGGTTCTTGTGAGAAGAAGAGGCCTGACTTAATGTACTTGCTTTACCTGACTCACTGCATACTCATACAGTGAAGTGAGATGTGGCTTGATTTATTTCTTTCATTTCTCAGAGATTTTTTTCCAAAAGTAAGTCTTGCATGTATTCTTTAAAATTCATTTTAGCTGTCTGTCTAAAAATAGAACCAGGACCTCATGCTCTCTACAGTTCATTCAACGCCTTTATTATCTTTTCCTCAATTCCATTGTCTAAAGCAAACTATTTTTCTAATTAGACTATTCATTGTTATAATACATACGTACTAGGGCTGTACGAAGCTTTGGGTGCTGATTCAATTCGGAGGAGATTCAGCCCAATTCAATGGCCGAACCTCCAAATCCGAATAGAATCAGGGGACCAATAAAAAGGTCCAAATCGATTCAAAGCTGTCCGAATCTTCAAAAAAGATTCTGAGAGCTTAGATGATTCGGACAATCCCTGCCCGCTGCAGCCAGATTTGGAGCTGGCACGTAGGGGCAGGGGAGCGGGGGCTACAGAAGGGGGGACCCCTGCCAGGCCCCATCCCCTACCTGCTCCCCCAGCCCCTTGACCCCCGTCTGCTGCCCCAGCCCCACCATGGCTGCCAAATGCCTCCTGATTTTATACCTTCCTGAAATTTGTGTACTCGGTTTAATCTCCAGACTTTCAGAGAAGCACAAAACATTACTTTATTACTGTTGGCTTGTTCTTCAATCCAATTATTTAGATTTATTCAAACTAGTTGTCATCCAAACTCTTTTTCCAGAGGTATCTCTCTTCTTACTCACTAGTTAAAAATAAGATTGTTGTGGGTGGAAAAGTCGGGGCTTGTGTTGCATAACAGATAGAACATGTCCATAACACACACACTTTGAACAACTACCAACAAAACATAAATGATGTATAAAATCAGCATGTTCAAAAAGAAATCAGAGAAAAGCAGACACAGTAATAAAAGATAATGAATGTCACACGAGGACATAAATGTACCTGTGGTAACTAACTCTGGTTCAAATAATTCTCTCTTCTAATCAACAAACTTTAGACCTGGATTTTTATAAGTGTATTATAAGATTCACCCAAAGAACCTTGTGTCCTCTTATAAGCATGTGCATTATGAGATAAAGATGCATGATGCTGCAAAAAGTAACAGGACTATTATTTCTTCAACAGTTATAATATGGTGTCAATCTGTCTATAGGAAACTGAACTTACAATTACCCATTACAGCAGAAAAATCACAAAGTAAATATTTTGTGAATAGCATAATAATGCCAGAGTTCCAAATTTCACTTCCTCCATTGTTATCACCCATGAATTTCTGCAGGTGGCTAATTGCAAGTGCAATTTTTATTAATGTTGACAATACCTCTGCTCTGAGCAAAACATGCTCCATCCAACTGATTCTGTACCATAATCAAGTCCCAACTAGGCTACCCAACAGTGCTAGCCATAGTTGCACAAAGTTTATGCAAGTAAATTGACTATTTGATTTCCAATATAGGCCAGACCTTAAACATTCTATTTCCAAAAATTATTTGTAGCACCACACAGCACTTATTAGCAGTCTGGATGAAATGTGTCCTGTTCACATTTCAGAAGAACCAAGCCTGCTTGAAAGCACTTCTTACTCCAGTATAGCTGGCAAGGTTTAGTACAGCATTTCTCAGGCTGTGAGTCATGACTCAAAAGTGGGCTTTAAGAATATATGCAAAGGTCACAAACAAACTTTAAAAATGTATTCTCTTTTAAAGGAGAAAAACATGGGAAATTGGCTTTTCCCTTACATGCTGTCAGAGTTGCAGCCTGCAAGAGGTTGCTTGGGGCCCTCCGTGCCCCACATCCCTCCCTACCCCCCCGCCTCCTTCCCCACACGCTGGGGGGCTGGGGCCTAGGGGCAGGGGGCAGCAGGTCAGGAGTGAAGAGAACTGGGTAGGGACTGGCTATCCATGCTTACAAATGGGTCCTGGCACAAAAAAGTTCGAGAACCACAGGTTTACCGTCTCTATTTTTCTGTACAGCTACTTGGACAGTGGTGTGTATCCATACTGTTGTGAGCAAAGCAAGTCCAACAAAACAAATCTGATATTTTAAATCTATCCACCATTTCCAAGTGACATAGCTTGGTAAGTGTTCTGGTGAAGTTCACACACAACCCGCCCCCCTCAAGAAAAAAAAACCTTCATGGTTTAGGCTCAGTGATGCATGAGGAAAACCATATAGCAAGATGTTTCACTGCACAGAATAAGTGAAAGAGGGAAGATCTGATGTATTTGCTTCAATGGCACAGTTAAGGATGCCAATCTACACAACTGTGCAGCTAGTGACTTGTAACTATGGTTTTCAACCTTTTTGATTCAAGACATCCCTGAAAAAATGCCAGCTCTTAGCTTTCACTTATTCTCCCATAGTAAAAAAAAAAAAAAGAAATAGAACTATTCACCTGTTGCAAAAAAATCTCAGAAAGAAAAATAAAATCAGGAATCCATAATATCAAAAAATCCTATTTGAAATCTCTGGGTTTATATTGTGTATCACTGGTAAGTGTCTGGTATCCAGGTTGTAACCATATTGGTCTAGAGGCAAAAGGAACACAAACTCATGATAGAGGTGATATCAGACCAACCAGATTTTTGCAAAAAATTGTTTACTTGCAGGCTTTCAGGCACAAGCACCCTTCTTTAGGCATAAGAGAAAAGATTATAAAAGTTCTCCTAGGTAAGAATGAAAATTTATATTTCATAGGAGAGTTGAAGGTGTAGTAAAATCTCCATTTTGGAACAGTTTATTTTACGCAGGTTAGGCTCAGAGAAAAGTTGGAATCGTCGGTTTACCTCAAAGTTGTTTGGTGGCAAGCAAGATGTAGTCATGTTTCCTTCTGGTTATCATGTTTCATATTTCACAGAAGGGTAAAAGGATGGCATGCTCTTTTGGGCAGGAATATGTGTGGCCAGTGTCTGCATACCTAACAGTGCTAATACTGCATGGCACCCTACAACACCCTGGCTGAGAACCACTGGCTTATAAGAACTTCTCTACCCACTATTGGGGTGGTCCCTGATTATGATTCACACTTTAGTAACTATGTACTACATGAACACCAACTACATTTTTAGCCAACCATGCCTCTAACTAGTTATTGAAGAAGTAAAGTTCTTGTGTGAGCAGAGCGTAGTAAGAGGTTATGGTTCACCAAAACAGTACTAACACTTTTCTGAAAACCACATGATACTTTAAAATAGTTCTGGGTAACAGATTAGGGGGTTTTTAAGTACATCACACTGCGCTTAACTGCATGGCATAGTAATTGAAAAAAGTTTATGCATTTACCCACAATATGTTATCACCCAAAACAGCGCTGGTGCTGGCACTGCAACTACAAGCATGACAAGCCTCCCTCATTTTGTAGACTTCTAATCGGAGCCCCTTGACAACCGCTTCCCCTTCTACTATTCCTGGAGCAGTTAAAGGGAATACACCTAGTTACAAAGGAGATGGATGCGGTTACAGTTACTAAGCAGTTAACTGGAGTATAAAATTTAGTTACAAAGTAGACAGTGAGGCTGAAAGATGCCATGCATTAAGTCAATTATACACTTAACAGGCCTGAGGGTAATGGGTGCTTCTTATTATTGTTGCAATTTATACCAGGCAACAAACTGGGCCTGCCATAGCAAAAGGTGCAATTCCCCAGTATGCATAAGAGGAGTTCACCACTGTACCTCTATACAAAGCCTCTATTACCACTTCTCCATATTAAGTAAATTAGCTATAATGCAGGTTGGCCAACCAGTGTGAGAAAGACTGGATCATATCAAACAGCACAGACAACCCATGAACCAAACTAAGCTGTTGAATTAAACCTGTAATATGGTATAGGCAGACAAGGTTCTTTGGGTTAATCTGATATCTTTTATTAAACCAACTCAAATAATTGGGGGGAAAAAATTTAAGCAAGCTTTTGGGTTCAAAACAGTATTTGCACTTGGCACAGCACCCTCACCAATAACGATCATGGCTTAGAAACCAGTGGCTGAATTCAAGTGAAGTATGAGTGATAAAAATGGATGATTTTCCAACCTGCCTTTACAACCCTAACACACACAAGTTTCTGGATTTTGACTTTTCCCCTGTCCCCGCTAACCACACTGGGTGCCAGTTTAACTGACAGCAGGCGATGCTCCCTGCTGGGTGCTGGAAACTGTCCGATACCCTCGTCGTTGTGCCGGGCTGTGAATCAGACCCTAAGTTTAAATCCAAAGCGGTGTCTCAAATAACCTACTTCTCCTTTCTCCCCTCCCACCACTCTCTTTCCTAGGCTTCCCCCTTTCACCAACTCCTCCCGGCACACAGCCCCTTACACACCCCGCAGGGAGCTACTGCCTCCTCCACCCCTCACCCCGGGGAGCGACCACGGGCCAGGAGGAGGAGGAGGGGGCTCCTGGCACCACGGGGGCTTTCGCCGGGAGGCTTCATGCTGCGCACCCCGCCGAGCGATGCGTGAGCGGAGGCGCGTGGCTCGTCTCAAAGCGACGGGTGCGGCCTGAGGCAAAGCCTGGGCCGCGGCGTCCGCCCCTCTCGCCCCCGGGGCACCCCCGGGGGAGGCCCGAAGGGCCGCGCGAGCCCGTTACCACCCGCCGCTCACCCGGCCGGACCCCGGGCGGGGC